AGAAAACCTCAGTTAGAATTTAATAACATTATTCTGCTTTATTGTATTTATTATTCATTTTCTTTTAAAACTTCTTTTTAGATTATAAACCATTTCAAATGAAAAAGTACAGAGAATAATAGCACAAACACATGTACCTACTTCTAGATTTAATAAATGCAGATACTTTGCCATATTTGTTAGAGGTTGTGTCAGTCGTAGTTTAACCAGAGAAGTAGGAAGCAGGATCCCATAGGATGGAGATGTGTATATGTGTATATGTATATATGTATGATTTATAGAAAGATATATATATATATATATATAAAATTGATGAATAATTCATTATGGAAATTTGACCACATATACTATGTGGGAGCTGGTTCAGCAGTCTTTGTAAGGCTATTGTGTTTGTGTGTGATGTTGGGGCTTGACGTCTACAGGGCAGGCAGTCGAGAAGGGAAAATAGTATTAGGTTATTAAGTATGAAATGTCTGATTTCCGTAAGTACGAAGTTTGACAATTGATGTCTCTGACATTTCACTTTGACACTTCTTGTTTTATTTTTATTGTGAAGCTACATCCTCATTGTTTCAAGTGCATGGTTTGGCTTATAATTATCTTTCAAAATTTTTTTAGAGCAATTTTTGTGAAACCATAGATAAGTAAAAAATTCATGTTATTTTCAAATAAGAGTTCCATCATGGAACTAATGCTTAGACAGCTCGAAATATCAATGAAATGTTTGGGAAGGATGTGGCTAATGAATGTACAGTATGTCAATGGTTTGAGAAGTTCTGGTAATTTTAATCTTGAAAATGAGCCACGTGGGTGACCTGAGACCAAGGTGGATAATGATGAGCTGAAAGCTATAGTGGAAGCGACCATCTCAACCTATGTGTGAATCAGCAGAAAGGTTTGACATTATTATTCCAACAGTATTGCAGTATTGGACCATTTGAAACAAATCGACAAGGTAAAGAAGCTGGTTAGAAGGGTACCACATGAATTAAATGAGCGTCAGAAGAGAAATCATCTCAAAGCTTGCCTTTCTTTGCTGTCACAACATAAAGGTGAGCCACTTCTATACCGTATTGTTATATGTGATGAAAAATTGATTCTATTTGACAATCACAAGCGTTCTGCACAATGGTTGGATAAAGATGAAGTACCAAAACACAGTCCAAAAACCAAATATTCATCAAAAAAAGCTAATGGTTTCTGTTTGGTGGTCCAGCGTTGGTATTATCCACTGCAGTTTCATGAAACCTGGTCAGTCAATTACAGCGGATGTCTACTGCAACCAATTGGATGAAAAGATGAGGATGCTTGCAATTAAGCAGCTGAGATTGGTCAATAAGACAGGCCATGACAATAAAATCACCTTTGATTGTTCTCCCTTTATTTCCCTTGAAAAAAGATTTGGCCCAAAAGTTAAGTGGCTCCCATTCTCGTCCTAGTTTTGCTATTAGTGTTATATGTAACTTTGAACAATTCATTTAATCACTCTGTCTCTTATTTTTCCTACCTAAAAAATAAACATAACCATTACTTCACAACACAAGATATTGTGATGAGATAATTTGTAGGAGACTTTTTGGTTTCCTGAGAAGTATTATAGCTTATAATGGAAGCTTATAATGGTATTAATATAAAATTACTTTTAAAACCTTAACTTTTTGAAACTTTTAAAATTTCAGTCCCTTAGTGCATGTTAGTCATTTTTCTAATTATAATTACACTGAAAGGGGGAAAACAATCCAACCATCTGTGGCACTTGTTCTCCTTCCCTGGAGGTAGAGCTAGAGAAGATAATGATTTATTTGAGATGTTGTTAGTACCACTCTGAAGGAGAACGGATGCTGGTTTCTCATTGTGGCTTTAAGGCCCATCTGCTGATGAGTGTGATTTCATTAGACAAAAATATGTGCATGGGAGTTGTAGAGCAATAATGGAGAGAAGACTGAGAGAGTATTTTTATTTCTGGGGGAAAGGAGTAGGATGTGAGCTATGTGAGATTGTCACAGCCAAAAATGGCAAACCAAGGAAAAACACCCCTATATTCTGTGTGTAGGTGGTTCATCCCTATGGCTAGTTAAGTGCTAAACCATCTTTGACTTCCTCCGATGGTATGACCCCTGTATGTGGCTCTGGTATAAAGGACCTGACATTGATCTGTATGTAGAGTTTAAGCATCACTTCTCTGACCTAATCTCTCATGGTGCCCCATTCATAGCATTTATCAGACAGTGTCGTTACTGCCTGCCTACTTTGTCTCCCTTGTGGTTAGCAAAACCGTGCATGACCATGGGTGTCAAGGAGGCAAAAAGGCTGACACCCTTTTATTGAGGCTGGTACTACATAGAAGAGTTTCTGACTCTTTTGGTGACATAAAGCTGTGGCCCTGTGTGTTCTGTTGAGGGCCTTGGATGTCTGTGTGTGTGTGAGCGTGTGAACGGGGTGGGCAGGGGAGACGTTGTGAAGGGTGGAAGGAGGGCAGAGAAATTGAGAAAGGTGGGAAGTACTTATTTTGCCTGCAGATTGCTAGGAATGAAACTGGTTAATACTGGTTAATACAGACAATACTGATTAACTAGGTTTCACTATTCCCTACATTTGAATAAGGGTGTAGATGAACAAACACCATTTGTTTTTGTACTGTTTTCTCCAAATTGTAGTTTCTACTGAGAATGGTGGCCTTCATAATGAAACATGCCTCAGATTAGAACACGCTTTGGAACGTCTCATTTTTTTTACCTAGAATGTTTGTCCTAGAACAATCCAGATAAAAATATGATGTGTTAATATATATTGAATAGGAACTTTGAATCGTGCCTGGTACATAGTTAGCATTGTAGAAGCACATGCTATTATTAGTAGTATTCCATCCTAGTCACTTAATCATTTACTTGTTGAGTGTGTAGGCCCTGGGTTATTTGCTTTAGAAGTCCAAAGGTAAATTACATACAGATCCTGCCCTCAAGGAGAGTATATTCTAATAGGAGAAATAAGCAAATACATAAATATAATGCAGTAAAGAAAATGATACGTGTTTTAGAAAAGTCTAGGTGAAGCTTTGGGGGTGAGCAGAAAAAAGCAGGAAAGGACTTCTGGAGGGATTGGTGAGGAAGGCAAACCCGTAAGGAAGGCTTCAAGGAGGAGGTGATATCTGAGCTGCCTCTTGGAGGGTGGGAAAAGCTCAAACATCCACAGCAGGAGAAAATGTCTTCCAGATGAAGCGAATGGTATGAACAAAGGTAGAAAAGAGCACATTTAGAGAGAAAATGTGACTGGTTTGCTTTGCCGGCTTGAGGACTGTGTGTTCATTAGAACTGTGTTTTGAGTTCTCGGTTTCTTCACCCCGTTTTTTTGTTTCTTTATGCCCATTAATTAAATTTCAGCAGATTATAATCAGGAGGGGCAGTTACTAAATGGGTGAAAGTGGCTTTGTGATTATAGCTGCTGCAATGTGTAATTGATCTGTTCCTGTAATTATTCAGGTTTTTATTTTTGTGTGCTGATTGCCTCCTATCCTAAAACTTCCATAATAGTATGCAAACAGGGGCCAGGAAGCATACAAGTCTAGGAATATGTTTTCCTTTGCATTTTATAATAAATCATCCATACATACTGACCTAAGGTAGCTTTACACCTCTCCAGAGAGGGCCACCATCAATTGACTCAAAATAGATTGGGACGACTGATAGCCTCTCAGCCTTACCCTGAGTGGAAAAATCCCATCTTGGGTTTTACATTAGCTTTCTGTGATGACACACACCGGGCGAGACTTCTTTTTTCTTTCCTTGACAGTGATCCCATCACTTACTGGTGGTAAATGACTCTGCCTTTGGCTCTTTGGCTCATCCACTGAACAGCTGAATACAGCCCTACAGAATGGTGCGAAGGAGCCCCGGCTGGGAGTTCTTTGCCCGGTGCAGATAAAACTGTTGGCAAGTCTCTCCACCCTTCTGTGCCTCAGTCGGTGCTTCCATCCAGTGGGCCTATTACTATGTGCTGTCAAGAAATCACGTACTTTGTATTTTTTAAATGCTTATTCTGTTTAAAGGTATTTTAAGACATAAGGTTAATAAGCTAATAGGGATAGTTTCTTACGTAAGATTAGCTCACTCAGGAGCAGACTTATTATGTGTTTGCTTAATAAATGTTAAGGTTGAAATAATCGTCCAACAGTGATAGCTAATGTAAATAGAAACCTGTAGCATAACAAGGCTGCGTAGGGCTCGACAGCATATAAACCCAAGTGTGAGTAGCTATAAAGCCCAGAACAGTCAGGGACAAATGGCACATGTGTTCAATCAATATTTCTTGAATGAAAGGGTGACATTTTTTTAGAGGGGAAAGGCAACTACGGTTATATTAAATCAAGTTTAAATATAGCTAAAGGTTATGAAAGGAATATCTATACCTGGGATTTTGAATTTCCTTAAATCTTATGAGTTGTAGATCATATTTTAAAATAGTGCCTACTCAAGTACATTTTATGCTTACCTGCTTTAATATAACAATATTATATATATTATTTTCTGAGACACTTAACCATGCTACAAAAAGTCTCTTGTTTAGATTATGAATCCAAGGTCAGTATAGTCCTAGCCCCCTGGGGAATGCTTATCTGAGCTGAAGACACAGTGTTGAAAGGAAATAGCTGGAATTTTAGTCTTTTAAGTCAGAGCCAATAATGTGCATCCCCCCTACCCCGTCAGCCCCTGCGAATCATATAAACGCAGAATCCTTAGCATCAGGCACATCTCAAAAAAGGAAAAGCCTGTAAAAAGGTATTTTGCTTTACAAGTGGGATTGCTGGTGGCTCTGTTCATAGTAGATCATGAAACTTCTTTTTCATGTTTTTCTCCTTTGTTTCTGATGTGGCTCATTTCCGTAGCTTATAAAAACACAAAAGCAAGAAACTGATCTTTCAAGATTTGCAGGCCTACTATGTGAGTTTTCAATGTAGATGTCAGAGGGCTGCAGCGTTTGGTTATGTGTGTTTGCTCTTTCAGCTGTACGTGGCCATGGAGGCCATCCTCATCACTCTGGTCGGGGCCACGCCGTCGTACCACTGGGACCTGGCAGAGCTCCTGCCGAATCGGAGCCAGGGCAACCAGTCGGCTGGTGAAGACCAGGCCTTTGGGGACTGGCTCCTGACAGCCAACGGCAGCGAGATCCATAAGCATGTGCATTTCAGCAGCAGCTTCACCTCCATCGCCTCTGAGGTAACGTCAGGCCATTCTGATCGCTATGTGCTGTTTCTCTTTGTTCAGATGGAACCACTCTTTTTTTGTCGTGTTGATTGAAATCTCAGCCACACCTTCAAATAACTTTCTAGTAAATTTAAGAGTTAAAGGTTTTAATGTATTAAAGGAGAATATCCTTTGAAAACACATTCTTTATACTTCTTACTACACATGGGAGAAGACTGAATCTTACTAAACTACTGAGATGAAATAAGGTAAACTCCGAAAGAGCCGTACTTTGATTGTGTGTCTTTTAGAAAAATGAATTAATAGTTTTATCTCTTTATTACATATGTAAAAATTAACAAGTAAAGAAAGAGAAATGTAATGACCCATCTGTACCATCCGCAGTTCATTTTTAAGTCCAGTCCTGTGTGCAGGCCACGTGGGGCACCTTGAGTGTGCAGTATAAAATACAGACAGTACCCACCTAGCATGGGCAGGAAGCCTTACTTTCAAGGGGGCTTTGCTAGCCGAAGAGAAGGTTCTGGTCCTTCTGAGCCAGCCAGAGTTAGGGAAGCTGAGGGTAGACAGTCTGGTAAGGAGAAACCCTGGATAGGAGGGGCAGAGCTCATGCTCAGCTGGAAAGCACTGGGCCTGGTTATTCAAATGTTGAAGTACTCCTGTCTTCTTTGCCTGCTCTGCATAAGCTGTCACCACCCTGGTGCTACCCTTGGACCCTATGATCCAATTAATAGGGTAAATTCCTGGTACAGCAGGGGCCTCTCAGACCCTTGCCAGCTCTCAGTTCTGATTGCCATGCTACTCAGCTTCCCCTCAAATCCCTTTGACCACTCTCCTACAGGGACAGCAGAGTGTCTGCCGGATGTCCTGCTCTCATCCCCAGTCCAGGCCTGGAAACCACCCACCTCTGTGTGTGTGTCTTTCTGTCTGCACCATGGCCCAGCTAGCCTTACCTGTCATTGAATATTTGGATTATCACCCTTTGGGTGGGGCATACTAAAAACAGGAGACAGGCTGAGGGTGGTAATTGGTTGGCCTTTCCTTAGGAGTCCCCCGTGGGAAGGGATAATTACTAGATTAACTTTTCGAGCAACTGCCAAAGCAGCATGTCTGACCACAATCCAGTGGTGTCACCCCTGACTCAGAAACCTCCAGTGGTTCCACACAGAACACAGTAGAGACCCTACAAGTGAAGTTCAAGACCCTTCACACTTCACAGTTGGGACCAGGTGTGCTTTTCCAGCCCTACTCTGCACTTCCCCCTGCCCTTCCTCCTCTCAGGAACATTTACTGTTTCCCACACACGCCCCAAGCTCTCTGGCTAAACCTGGTATCTGTCAGGAATGCCCTCACCACTCACCAAGCCTCTGCCTGGTGAAATCCTAACCTGCCCTCTAAGGCTCACTTTCAGTGTCTCCTTCCCTGTGAGTCTTCCCCGCCCACTCCCCAGAAGTAAATACACTTTCGTTTCTGCTCCAGTAACGTCTCGTTTGTACTTATGTTACAGACTGTTGTTTGTGGTTCAACTCTATTTTTAAGAAGTCCTTTGAAGTCAGAAACCATGTTTTGATCATCTTTGTACCTCCATGGCCTATCGCAACCACCACCACCACTACTACCCTAGTGAAATAACAAGTAGCTTTGTTCAGTGATTACTGTTTGACAGGCATTGATGATATATGAATCAGCCCTTAAGTCATTTAATTCCCAAAATAATTCTGTGAGGTAGGAATTATTTTTTACATTTTACAGATGAAAAATTGAGATCCTTGAGGTCATGTTAGCTAATAAGGGCAGAGCTTGGATTTGAATCTAAATTTGTCTGAACTCAAAAGCCTATGCTCTTAATCGTTACGCTTTTTAGGGACCTATCCAATCCAAATTGGTATGCACACCTCTTAGGTTCTTTCTGATAGGTAACAGTAACCAAAGAATTTTTAAAACATTTTTTATTTGTAAATAATTTCAAACTGAAAGAAATTTCAAGAATAGTACAAAGAGTCCAATCCCTTTATTTCCTTTAGTTTCATCTGTTGTTAATAGTTTGCCTCATTGGCATTGTTTCCTCTCTGTTTTTTTCCCAAGCCACTAGAAAGGTATATGCACTAGTGTTCTTTTATGCCAAGTATTTCAGTGGGTATTTCCTAAAAAATAAGACATTGTCTTATATAACCACAGTACAGTTATCAACTTCAAGACATTCAACACTGATACTGTAGTTTTATTTGAATTATACCCAATTGAGATATGCCATCTACACCCAGTTTTGTCACTTGACCCAGTAACATCCTTGACAGCATTGTTTTTTCTTCTCACATATTAAGTACAGTTCAGAATCACATAATACCTTCAGTTGTCATGGCTCTTTAGTATCCTTTGACCTTCAGCCTCTTTTTTCTATTTTGTAACATTGATATTTTTAAAGAATCCGTACCTCCTGCTTTTTTCAAATTAAGAATGTTCCCCATTTGGGGTCTGTCTGATGTCTTCATTCAGGTTGATTATGCATCCCAAGTCAGAATAGTACGTGAGTATTGTTGTCTTTCTCAGAGTATTATGTCTGGAGACACACACTATCCATCTGCCCCCTTTTGGCAATGTTAATTTTGATTATCCATTCCATGTATTATCTGATTTCTTCCCGATGTAGTTACTATTTTTTAATTTCAAGGAATAAGAAAACTGTGGGGAATCACTCTCGGGTTGTGTAAATTTGCTGTTCCTTATCAGAACCATCATCTCTTCTAATTTAGCATCCACTGATGACTCTTGGGTGAAGCAATCTAAACTATGATGTCTTCAAAATGACTATTTCTTAACTCTAGCACTTTCTGCACGTTTACCAGCCTGCATCTTGCTTTCTACTGTAAGACCCCTTTCTTCTCCCTTCTCTGTCTTTTTATCTGTCTACCTACTGTCTATCTATCTATCTATCTATCTTTCTCTCTGTCTGCTTATATATCTATCATAGGTATATACTCATGGATTCCTATGCTTTTCAATGATTTATAATTTATTACAGCTCTTAATTATTTTGGTATGCAAATTACCACTAATTTACCAGTTGGAACCTCTTCAAGCTGGCTCTTGAGTCCTTTTTCTTTGATTAAAGTTTTTATTTTGAAATAATTTTGGATTTACATGCAGTTGCAAAAAAGAATACAGAAAAATTCTGTGTACCCTTTACCCAGTTTCTCCCAATGGTAGCATCTTCCAAAACTATAGTATAACATCACAGCTAAGCTATTGACTTTGACGTGGCTAAGACTCAAAACATTTCCATCACTGCAAAGATCCCTCATGCTGACCTTTTACAGCCACACCCACTTCTCTCCCATCCCTCACTCTTTTCCTAATCCCTAGTAACCACTGATCTGTTCTCTTATCTATAATTTTGTCATTTTAAAGATGTTATAAAAATTGAAATAGTATTGTAGAAGCCTTTT